GAGAGGCAGCACTATCCAGTGGTACACTGACGACTTCTTTGCTATAATTCAGTGCGCAAAACTCAATCTTCACAACTACCGCAACTTACGTATCGCCATACTTAACGACAGTCAAGCGGCTCTGAAGGTGATCTCCTCGAATGAGGTTAAATTGCTTTTACTGGGTTCACATAATATAGGTGGATATAGGATATCTAAGTGGACAGGGATCACATCACCTCAGTCGAGCCCAGCAGGCTGCTGGAATTGTTCAGGGTGCTTCACTTTGGTGACCATACTCAAATGTGATATTGGGGAAGGTACAACACACCGTAGGTCGCTGTGCAAAACCTCAGTTTTTACTATTCACCAATCTAATTTMAAATTTGTAATGTTTTCGAAACACGCAATGATGTTTTCCAGGATATGCGGTCTTCGATTCGCCATTTCTCTGCTTATGCTCTCTTGTCAAAGAAAGTACATGTAAAAGCAAGTAAAAGTTATCGAGTTGAATTTGTGTATGAGAGTATGCCTGTACCATTGAAGTGATCTTCAGGTTTTTTTTTTGCATATATTAGATTCCTTTTACTATTGTGAATTCAAATGACAAATTAAAATACAAATTTAGTTTTCGTTGTATTTTTAAAACTTAAAATTAATAATAGCTATTTAAAGAAAACAAAAATAAAGGGTTACTGCAACGTTTTATAACGCGAAAAAAATTTATTCACTAATGCACTATTACGAATGGGTAGGAAAAAATGTTAGTGCAGGGTTGCAAAGCAAGTGCAGATTATTTGAGCACAATGTTATTGATAGTAGCGAGATTCAAGACTTCATCGGAAAATCGCGCTGTAGATTGTCATAAGGACACACAATATAAAGAGCAGATAATTCTAAAGATGCTTTAGCGAGTTTAACATTTTTATATAGTTAAAATACCATGGTATGCAAGGGAATATGTACAGTTCCCTGAACTGTGTGGAACCGCGCTACCGCAGTGCACTTGGAGTTCAGTCCCACCACAATCTGGTCTGCGAAATCGGAACGGAAAGATTTTTATCTGGCCAAGGACTAGCTACTCGGCAGATTTCTTCCAAATTATTTCTGAGACTTGCTCTGTTGCGACAACAAGAACAACTTGTGAGTAACCAAAATAAGGTGGATTTATTTAAAGCTAAAATTGAGGAGACAAGACTAGTTGCATCGGTTTAATATTTCATTTATTATTACAATAACTTAATCTTTTAAGCAGAAAGTTACGAGAAGTAAAATACAAGTAAGAGTAAAAAGAATGCGGGCGGGGTATTTTTCGATTTAAGTTTACAGTAAATGTTATTCCCACAAATTACATTTTAATTCCAAAAACAAAAATGAATCTCCATGGAATGGTGATGATGTTCGGTTGTAACTGGATAAACATCCGCAGCTATTACTTTTAAAAGTTCTTTTTTCAAATGTCTGTCAAGTCAAGTCGAAACCCTATTTAATGATGCTATGTTTTTATTTTTACTAAATAAAATAACTTATTGATAAAATCTTTAAATTAGTCGTTTTTGCATCAACACGTAAGTCTTTAAACTCATGAAAAATTTATTGTTCTTCAGCTATTTCGCTTTTCTTTCCTTCTACTATTTAAAGAAAACGACTAAGATATTAGTATCTGTGTCTGTTTTTTTTATTTCGAATGTAAGTAGGTCTATAACAGTCCTATAAGTATATTTGGAACTAAACAAAATTACGAAGGAAGTGTGCTAAATGGCAAATTAAAAAAGTTCTAAACAAGGAGATACTACCGTTTTTTGGGTATTTGAAATCAAGAAAATACAAGCTTTACACATTCAACGTGGCGTTACAGATAAACAATTTTAGATAAACCTAACAAAAACACATTTTTACAAACCTGTAATGCAGGTGGTCTTTCCGAAGTTATTCCTTTATTTACTTAAATATTTTTGTGTATGTACTGTTTGTATGTGAGGAGATTCTGAGTGGATGACTACCGCATTGCGGACTCGCATGCATTCAATTGCAAACTCAGGTTTCCTTCTCGTGTTAGCACGAATATTTGTATAATCTCTTGTATCATTTGAATAGGTAATGCCGACTTCTTCAAAATCTTCACACATTTCTATTACTTGGTTTTGGTTTTGGTTATAATTCAACTCGAGAGTTTCTGCCTCGCAATCAATATCTTCGGAGTTTGTGTCAATCATTTTTCCAACTACGTCTGTTGCACCATCTAATTGTTCAATTATATCGTCCATAGTATCACCCTCAGTATAATTAGAATCTGTCAGTGCTGTTATAGCAACTGTCGGTTCATTTGACCCATTACTATTGATCTGTGACGCAAAACCGACTTGTGAATTTGTTGTCCCCACTATATTTTTAGATGCTAATGTAATCGAACGTTGCAAAGTATTTCCTCCGCTATTATTTACGCCAGTTGTATTTAAAATATTAACGAATCCTTTATTAGCTATGGTTGTATTAGCGGGTAACACGACTAATTTGCTTCCTGTGTTTCCAGCTATACCGCTTGTAACAATGGTCTGAGGTTGAGTATGCCCTGAGTTCGATCCAACGATCGTAACAGTTTTGGTTAGCCCAGTTATATTGGGATTTGCAGCCATTTGAACTGTTACTGCTTTACCTCCCAATGTTATTGTTTTTTGCTGTATATTTGCAGGCTGCACGTTGATTTTTTGCTGATGTTGTTGACCTGTAAGATGTTGCTGAGACAATTGTGTTGTCGCTGAAGGCAATGTTAGAGTAATTGGGCGTCCTGTTGTGCTTGTAACTCCACGTATCATTTTAACACCGCTCTGAGTAGCTACCACATTTCTAGTCGCTACAGCTGTAGCTGTTGTCGATGTAGAACCTACTATTGAAACAATGTTGCATGCACCTGCTTGAGACACTACATTTGATGTCGATATGGTTCGTAAAGCCGAACCAGTAGTAACAATTATGATCTGTTGATTGGTTAACTGATGTCCCTGTTTGTTAGTGATAACAAATGCTGGTTTGCCAGCAACATTTGAAGATACCTTCCCCACTTGTAGTATATTCGAATTTTTCATAATTAATTTACCACCACTAACGGTGTGTGGGGAAACTAATTTAACAAGATTACCAGATACTATTGGTTTTTGCTGTCCGGTGGACACATTAGTTGCTATAGATGTTATGCAATTTGCATTGGTAATAAACTGCTGCTGTGTTTGTGAAACAACATTGCTAACTATTGTTTGTGAAGCTGTCACTATTTGCCCTGTTGCTGTCTGTTGCGTACCTACAGTTATTGCGCCTGCGGTATTAGTATTTTTCAAATTAAGTTTTGGAAGAGTTTGCACGGCTACTCCGCCTGTGCTAGTTTTTACTAACTGAAACTGTACATTTGTTCCCAATGTTAAAGGCTTTTGCAATATATATTGTTTGCCACCAATTGTGGTAGCAGTACCAATGGATGTTCCTGAATTAGCAATAGCAGTGTTTTGTATCTGTCCAGTCATGTTAGCGCTCGAATTTTGAGCGGTTTTCAACATGGTAGTTGTATTTCCTGTAGCTTGTGTAGTAGCTAAACGTAAAGTCTGACCAGCATTTCCTGTTACAATGCGAACAGTATTCGTCTGAGCTGTTGTTGTTACAGGAGTAGACGCAGCACTTACAACACGTAAACTATTAGTACCAGCATTCACCTGTGTACACGATATTCCTGCCGATCCTGTGGCAATTGGTGAAGTTATAGCAGCAGTTCGAGATACAACCGTATTCGGTCGGTATTTCTGCAATATGGTAGTTATGTTATTATTGATCATTGATACACTTGGTTGTTGTTGGGACACATTTACTAAAGTTGCTGATAAGACCCCTCCACTACCACTAACAGGGGTGCTGGAATTTACAATTGCCGGTGCTGCCGCATTTATTATGCGTGGCGTCGGCATAGCACTCTCTACAATGCTGGGAGACGAAGCTAAAATTTTTGCATTGATTTGACTGATTTGCTGAGATTGCTGAACTTGTTGTGCTATGTAAATAGTTGAACCCTGCATATGAGGTTGTTGCTGCTGCTGTTGTGTTTGTGGCTGTGCCTGCTGCTGTATAAGAGCATTGCTAGATACTTTGACAGTAGATTGTTGCAAAGTAACAGTAGGTAGGGCTGTATTATGGATCTTCTGATGCTTGTTCGCTGATATTGTTGGTGAGGGTTGTGTAGACGTTGTCATTCCATTAACGGGATTTTGACTACTGGGTAATGTCGTAGCACAGGCGCTAGGAGCATACGAAGGTGTTACCACTTTAGCAGCCATAGTTACAGGTTCGATTTTTTGTGTTTGTAACTCATAGGCTGTAGCAAAAGTAGTAGTGGTCCAACATAGTTCCAGTGCATGGGTGGAAGCACGCACCAAACCAACTTTAACGGCATAAAGTGGTTTAGTGACCTCTAGATACCATAGATCTTTACAGCAAACCTAAAAGTAAATTAAAGAAAATCTACACGTCATGTATGGAATCATTACGAGTTAGCTCAAATAAGCTGAATATAATATTAATTTTAGTACTAATTGTACTATGCTTTTATATGAACAACAGTTTATCTAATATTCAGCTCACCCTAACCTGGTTGTTCCATGCTTTACGATACCCATCACGACCAGACCACACATAGAGACGGCTTTGAATACCTACTGCACAGTGGCCAGCCCTAGCTCGTGGTACATCTTCATCAACGGAGTCAACAGTTACATTTTCCCAATTCATTGAATCTGTAGCAGATATTGCTTGAAAACCCTGAATAAATATAATTTGAAACTAATTTACCTAAATCGAGAACTGCGAGAGTATTTGTGCATTTCCATTCTCTTTCGGTTGTTGATTTAGAATCATTTATAAGTAAAGGTACCCATCCCCCAAAAACATACATTTTATTGCAAATCATTGTAGCGCTATGTAAGGATCTAGGTAACGGTGCGTGACCACGTGTTCGGGGTTTTGACCATGTCATAGAATCTACAAATTAAAAAAGACAATATGTGAAACTAAATACTTATATGATAGATAAGCCCATGACTTATATTTTTTTAGAAATTGTAAACAGAATTCTTACAACGCAAATTATAATGATTAAATATTTGAGAAATGTACTTCCGCCTCACTAGTTGTAAAATTGAACTTGTCCACTATTAGACGTGTTATTTTAAATTAGATAACTGTGTTTTAACGGAACTAACTTAAAACTACATATTTTCTTTGAGTTTAACAACAAAAAAAACAAACTCTGGAATTTTTAAGATAAGTTTAAATGAATTTAATTTATAATTCTAGAATATTGATTTCAAAAAGCAGGTCATTAGAAATATACAGTGGCGGACAAAAGTCTACATACAACCCCTAAAATGCAAAACATTTTAGAAAAAAGTGTTGATACAGTTTAATTTTATTTATTTTTTTCTAATAACAATAAATTTTAAAAATCCATTACTTAATATAAAATAATAAATTTATGGATAGAAAAAAACTCGCAATTGTGTTGACAAATGTTCATACACAGTAAAAAAATATCTCAGTTCTTTGCGAAAACTTTACAAAACTCTAGTTATTAATGTTTTAGTATTTAATTGGGGCCCCATTGGCAGCAATAACTGCTTGTAGACGTCGTGGCTTTCATTCTCCTAAATTTGTCAACTCTGCAGATGTAATGCTGTTCCAAGCTTCTAATAAGCGATCTTTGAGTGTAGCTGGAAATATGATGCTTTCTAATTCTACACTTAAAAATTTCGCAGGCATGTTCAATAATATACAAAGTCCATATTGGTGTTTCATTGCCTTGGAGCATAATAAAGCAACTAGACCTTAAAAATTTGCCCCGTATGCTTCGGATCGTTATCTTGTTGAAAGATCCAACCGGAATCGAGCCGCAAGTTATCCACCGAAGGTTTCAAGTTATGTTTCAACAGAGACCTATACTTAGAACGGTCCATTTCGCCTTCAATAAAGGATAACTTTATTATTCCAGAGGCAGCAACAGCTCCCCAAACCATTATGCTGCCGACACCGTGTTTACAGTTGATATTACGATTTTCGGTTCAAGCGCAGCGTTAGCTTTCCTTCAAGTTCTAGCTCTTCTATCGCTACCAAAAATGTTGAATTTAGACTCGTTGTAAATAAAACTTTTCCCAAAAATACATATCCTCTTCTTTGTGTTTTTTGACGAATTCTGAATGAAGTTTTCTGTTTTCAGACTTAAGAGGTTTCTTCTGTGGTGTTCTACTGTGGAATCCGTTACTGTTTAGAGTTCTTTATATTGTTCCTGAATGGATACTCTTTTTTACCGCACTTTCTATGTGTTCGGCTAATTTTGAATCATTTAACTTTGGATTTTTGTCTACTTTTTTCAGAATCAGACGGATAGTTTTTTTGGGCGACTACTGTGCGGTTTATTTTCGGTTAGGAACTATTGACCCCTGCACTACCACTAATTCGAAGTTTTTTAGAATTGTCTGTACTATTGCTAGATTCAAGTTTAAAATTTTAGAAATTTGATACATCAATTAGAATTTCTTTTCACGGAGCCATTATAGCTATTCAAGTGTTCAAACCACAACTAATTTTAATAAATGCCGAACAGCAAACAAAAAAATTAGGGAAAAAGACTTTACCGATATCATGACAATGTACAAAATATGAGCTTCGTACTGTATGTAGACTTTTATGAACGCAATTTATGAGTTTTTCTTCCATAAATTTGATGTTTCATATTAAATAATGAATTTTTTAGTTCATTGTTATAGGGATAAATATTAGAATAAAACTGTATAAATACACTTTTTGTACTCTCATATCAATGAAAATAGGGGTGAATGTAGACTTCTCTCCGCCACCATATTTAGTAGCAAAATAACAATTATACATACCAACTTCCAAGAGCCACAAATCACCTAGCCGACAACCACTCATTCCACCATAAATCAATAAATGTAGTTTATTGGATTTTTTGCTTGTAAATGCTACGCCAGTATGAGACTCCCGTGGAGGTGGGCTTTCTCCGTATGTTTTTGGCATAATCCATTTACCGTTATGACTGTGTACTCCACGGGTTTCCAAAATGTATAAATCGTTCAGATACCTAAATAATAAAATGACAGATTACTAATGCCAAAATAATTTGGTTACAATGACTTACTTAGGTATGTTATTTTTAGGATCATCAGATTCGTTAGCTAAGCCACCAAAAAGAAATATACGATCCCCTACTATGGTGAAACTATGGCCTAGACGCGGACATGGAGCTGGCATGTTATCCGGCAATTCAGGTTGCATTTTACGCCATTCCCATTTTGTTGCTTGCAACTCATAAAGTTCATTAGAATATTTTCCATATTCAATCATGCCACCAAAAACAAACATACGAGTACCCACAACAACAAAGCCATATGCGGCACAACCTGGTGGAACTTCACCACGCATTGCTGGTACAAACCATTGATTGGTAACTAAAACACGGGATTAATAAAATAGTTTAGGTATAAAGAAAAGTTCAACCTCAAAATATACACAAACCAGAATTATAAACATGAAGTTCGTCTACAATTCCCTCGTTCCCTCCACCAAATACGACCATTAATTCTTTTATGTTGATGGCTCGATGTCCATGTCTTGGACGTGGCTGAGGTCCAGAAGGATTACTTAGCCGTTTCCAACAAAACTTATTAGCATTATTATTATTAATAGTCGTACCTGAAATACAATATTACTCAGAAGTGTAATTTAATTTTACTTTTTGCGTTCAAACCAAACTTACAGTCTTCATCATAATTTTCCATTTGAATTTCCATATTACCCAAAGTTGAACCGTTTATGTTCGTATGTGCTCGAATTGCAGGCATATTTTGTATTGATTCATTTTCGGTAGTATTGTTAGTAGACATATCGCTGGTGCTTATAAAGTCAGAAGACTCCATCATATTGTAGGGTTGATAGTTATATTATTTTTATAATCTAAAAGCTGCTTCTTTAAAACATGTTGCAAGTGAAGAATATATTTATGACTAACTTTGTTAAATAATAGAATATACCATATTTATCCGAAAATTGATAGTAGAATATAACCAAACTAAAAATTTTAAATCTACAAAAAGCGTGCTTTTATTTCTTGCAAGCGATAGAAAAAAAAGAGGTTAATTCCCACAGCATACCTTTCCACGTTACCGGAAATTACCGAGATTTTGTTCGGCCAAGGGCTATATCACACATACTGTATCGATAAGTAAGTGACGTTAGAAATCCTAAAACAATAATAATCTCTTTACATTAACTCTCGATAGGGGTATTCAGATCAGCTTCGTTAATACGTTAGTCGTTACTCGGTAGTTTTTTACGTGCGTTTTGTTTTTGAAAAATTAACAAATTACTGCTTTACCGAGTAACGAGGTACCAGACGGGCGAGCATGATAGCTTTTCAGTTACTTGGTAACATCCCTCGGACGTTGTTTTTTTTTTTTTTTTTTTTTTTTTTTTTTTTTTTTTTTTTTTTTTTTTTTTTTTTTTTTTTTTTTTATTTTATTAAAGCTTACATAATAAACAAATTATTAAATAAACTAAAGTACGCAGCGCTAGCATCAAAGGCTTTCGGCTGAGCTCGGACGTTTAATTTGCGTTGTTGACTCAAAAGCTAACTTGATTCATTGCGAAAAAACACATTGTATGTTCACTACAAAATAGCACGCCTAAAACATTGGAAACGTGTTTTCCATCTATCGCAACAGTACTACAGATAACCAAATTGCTGACTCCGGCGCAGTCGATCAGCCTCAACGCATTTAGGAATGTTTGATCATAGAAGCTGAATTTACCAAAAATTGTGAAAGAGATACCTTGTTTGCCCACCCTGGCGTTAAGGTCACCAAGACGATTTAGAAAGATAGCCTTGGTCACATTGTTCTCTTCTTAGGTTGAGGCGAGGGCGCAAATTAGCGATATGTTAATAACTTCGCTTTGATGCGCACTGTGTGATAATTCACCAGAACTATGCGGAATTGTAAAAGCTCACCTGATATTGCCATCGCTAGCCATGGTCTGCTAGTCGACATTGGGATGCGCTGCCAAGAGTACGCGGACGACATTGTAGTTATAACCAGAGGCAAATTTGACGACACTCTCTTCGACCTACTACAAAGAGGTTTAAACCTTCACCACCCTTTTGCCAGGTGCCAGAGTGTCCTCAAATTGACCTCCAAGACGACCCTCGTCCCGTTCACGAGATGTAGGTCCCTACCAGATCTCAGGAACTTCACACATGCGGGCAGAGAGATAGAGAGGACCAGCGTGGTCAAATATCTCGGTCTCACGATGGATTTCACTTAGCGGTGGAAGCAGCATGTTGACCTGACCTTGGTCAAGGCGACAAAAGCATTAATGGTGTGCAATCGGCTGGCGGGAATATCCTAGGCCTGCAAGCCAAGGATTGTTAGGTGGTACACCATGATAATCACGTACGGGCCGGTGGCCTGGGCCTCAAAAGCTTCGCAGACTTCGGTAACTATCGAAGCTGCAACGACTAGCTTGTGTCTGCAAGTCGAGTGCGATGCGCACTTGTCCGTCGGCAGCACTTGCAAGTCATGCTTGAACTCATACCGCTCCATTTGGTGATCGGGTAAGTAGCCAAGCACACACTTCTGCAAGTAAAAATGGTAAAGTAAGTAAAAGGCAAAGGTAAAGTAATCTCGTCCCAGAGAATGAAAGAGATAAGTGGCACTATACCATTGCCCCTTCTCCTGAGGGACAGCATTACCAAAAAGGTTACCTTCACAAAGAAGTTCAAGGTTACCCTTGGCAATAAGGATGAGTGGAACGATTCCACTCTCGGGCTGCTGCTAAGATATACTATGATGAAGTCGTACACTGACGGCTCGAAAACGTCAGAGAATCGGTGCAGGAACTGCAGGTCCACGCACTAAGCTCTCCATACCTATAGAAAGTTTTCTAAGCATTTTCCAGATAAAGATCTTCGCCATAAGTCGATGCATAGAGGTAAACCTCCAACGCAACTATCGCAATGAGGGGATAATCATACTTAGCTATAATCTAGCGGCACCAAGGGCGAACTTCTCCTACGAGATCACATCGTTACTGGAGGATCACATCATATCGTGTAGGAGTGCACAGAACGACTGAATACCCTAGCGGAACTTATCTAAGAGCACTTCATCTGGGTTCCCGGTCATAGAGATCTAGACGCTAAGGAACTGGCTGACGAGCTCGCCCGCTCTGCAGCTTCTACCAACATGGTAGGACCCGAGCCCTTCACTAGAGTGGGTCCCCATACAATAAAGGAGTTGCTCCGCAAGGAAGAAGGAGTAGGCAGAGAAAGGCATTAGCAACAAATGCATGACATGCGACATGCTAAGTTGCTAATGGGGAGTAAAACTACAGCAGGCTTAAATTTGCAATGAACATCCCTAGGGACAAACTCAGTCTACTGGTCGCATTTTACACCGGCCACTGCAAAGTGAATATGCACTTACATAACATGGGCCTATCCTCTTGCGTAAACTGCCGGTTCTGTGTTAAGGAGCCTGAAACACCAGAACACCTGCGAATTGACTGCACAGCAGTTTGTAGGCTTAGGATTACAGCCTTTGGATCCATGTTTCCGAATAAGGATCGCATCGCCTCAACAGCACCCAACAGGATATTGTACTTTATCAATATGCTGTGGCTATGTGAGGTAGTTGATTCTAACATTATTATATGTATATCATACCACCCCCTGCATAGGGTTGTGTGCTGGGTTTGGGACCCGCCACATAAAAAAAAACAATCCCAATGAAAACGCAACAACAGCCTCGGATGAGAGACCCCACTTTTGATGACGACCATGGCAAACGAAATAAGGACTACGAATTGAGGGCCTGCACCTGCCATGGACGAGACCAGGACTCAGACAAGTAGGTCCCTGTGGCATTTACCACAGTGGACATATAAGGGAGCGAAAGTTTGGTGTGGGATTCGTGTTGGGAGAGAGACTCTGTCGCAGAGTACTATCATTCTCTCGGGTGAATGAACCTCTAGCGACAATCCGCATCAGGAGCGAGGTTCTTCAACATATCGCTGACATGCACCCACACCCCGACGGAAGGACGATGTGACCAAAAGTTCATTCTATCAGCGCTTGGAGCTCGCTTATTAGAGCTGCCCCCGCCACGATGTCAAAATCTTACTTGGCGACTTTAACGCCAGGGTGGGCAAAGAAGGTAGCTTTGGCACTACGGTCGTTAAATTCAGCCTCCACGAGGAAACATCCCCAAATGGGTTGAGGCTGATCGACTTCGCTGGGGCCCGAAATATGGATATCTGTAGTACTAGATTCCAGCATAAGAAGAAACATCAAGCTACCTGTCTGTCTCCGGATCGAAAAACCACCAACCAGATCAATCACGTTGTGATCCGTTCCCACGACCGTCGGGTCTACGAAAACCGGAACGGACCCGGATTTTTATGCGGCCAAGGACTGTCAACTCGGCAGAATTCTGTCGTTACAACAACATCAAGTTGTGATAGACGGAAGACACGTCTTCAGTGTTTTAGATGTGCGTGCGATCCGAGGTCCTAACATCGACTCAGACCACTATCTTGTTGCAGCCAAGATTCGCACCCGCCTCTGTGCAGCAAAAAACGCACGCCATCAAACATAAGGAAGGTTCGACGTCGAGAAGTTGTAATCACAACAGACAGCCAACCGATTTTCTACTCGGCTTGCACTCCTGCTCTCTGAGAGCACTCGCCAACAACTCAGTATAAGGGAACTGTGGGACGGCATTTCAAACTCCTTACATACAGCTGCAGCCGAAACTATTGGTTTTCGGAAAGTGCAGAAGAACAGCTGGTACGACGAGGAGTGCCGTGTCGCAATGGAGAGAAAACAGGCTGCCTACCTCGCAACGTTACGATCGATCACAACACGTGCCGGATGGGATATATACCGAGAGTTGAAGAGAGAAGAGGGACGCATTTGCAGACAGAAAAAGAAAGGGGCCGAAATGCGTGAGTACGAAAAGCTTGATAAGCTGGCTGACAGGGGTAATGCTCGAAAATTCTACGAAAAAATGAAGCTAACAGAAGGTTTCAAGACAAGAGCATACTCTTGTAGCACCCCAACGATCATGATTGAGCAGAAGTTCCATTATCCGACCATGAAGAAGTTCGAATAGCAATTACCCGCCTGAAGAACAAAACGGCGGTTCCGATGGATTGCCGGCCGAGCTATTCAAACACGACGTTGAAACAATTGAAAAGGAGCATGCATCAGATTTCTTGTAAAATATGGTCGGACGAAAGCATGTCCAACGATTGGAATTTAAGTGTGCTATGCCCAATCCTCAAATCTTTGCAAAGACCCGTGAAAGGAGAATCGACACTCACCACCTCTTCGTCGATTTCAAAGCTGCTTTCGACAGCAAGAAAAGAAGCTGCCTTTATGCCACGATGTCTGAATTTGGTATCCCTGCAAAACTTATACGGTTGTATAATCTGCCGTTGAGCAGCACCAAAAGCTCCGTCAGAATCGGGAATGACGTCTCCGAGAAGTTCGATACCAAACAAGGTTTCAGACAAGGCGATTCCTTATCGTGCGACTTTTTCAACTTGCTTCTGGAGAAAATGGTTCGAGCTGCAGAGCTAAATAGAGAAGGTATCATCTTCTACAAGAGTGTACAGATATTTCGTCTTGCCAGACTGGAGTAACAGCCGTCGCACTCTCGACTTGGCACTCACGTCACTGTTGACAGTCATAGCTTTGAATTTGTAGACAATTTCGTCTATCTTGGAACCAGTGCAAACACCACCAACAATGTCAGCCTGGAAATCCAACGCAGCATAACTCTTGCCAACAGAATAGCACCTGAGGACTGAGTGGGCAATTGAGAAGCAAAGTCCTCTCTCGGCAAACAAAAACCAAACTCTATAAGTCACTCATAATTCCCGTCATGCTATATGGTACAGAGGCTTGGACGA